CTATGTAGCCCTGAAACCACTGATGTAGCCCAGGCTTGTCCTGAACGAGTTACCTCCCTCTCCCTGACTCAGCCCAGCCTCACAAGTGCTGGTATAAAAGGCATGTGATCCTGTTCAGATCTGTATGCTCTGTTATTGTACCCTTTGATAGCATTGCATTTTTCCAAACTGTCTAGGTATCAATAGAAAATGGAATTCAGAGCCTGGGTAAAGACAGTCTTGGATGACAAATCAACTATGAATAATCTACAAAATAGATCACTTCTGGGTCAGAAAGATTAATTCACTATTTCTGGATCAAATATCAAAGTCATCTAGATGCCAGTGAACTCTTTACAAATTTACAATTCAAGATACTAGTAACAGCAAATGAATAAAAATCAAAGCCTAGGTCAGCCCTATGCTGGCTCATAAGTCTTCATAACAAACACCGAGTTGGCCGTGTAAATCTACTCCGATCCTGAAATCTGAACAGCGTGTACTTGACTCTCCCTTAGGGCCTCAGCTGATAAACTTGTGCTATATTCTTCAAAGTTACCAAGTCATGCCTGGGGGTTAATCTTTCTACCTCTCCTCCCAAATGATCATATTTTCTGAACCTCAAATTACACCAGATGGCCCGATACATATTAGCATCCTTTTATGAAGAAGATACTGCGAGAAAGCGGGACTGCTATGGAAACAGACGACGAAGCCAGAAATAAAATTCCTATCTATCACAGTCCTAATCTTAATTTAATTTTGAGAAGTACATATTCCCATTTACTGAACAAAATAGCTTTGGTTTCTTCAATCCTGAACAAAAATACTCCATCAGCCTTCGTTCAAATAGGAATTCAGATCCCAGTATTAGAAAGCAAGATTGTGGTCTAACCTAGGGAAGCTGAATTGGTCTGGAAAATTCTATACTTAGAATCAAAATTCTTTGCATCAGGAAAACCAAGAGGTACCTTTCGTCCATACCAAATGTCCTTTGCAGAATTCAGAATGACTTGGGGTCAAGGAGATTTCCTGGGACAGGCCCTTTTGTCAGTGAATGACAGCCCGTAACCATTCTAAACTGTATCAATAAAAAAAAAGACACAAAATATACATTACACTCTGCATGGTGCATATGAACACATCACCACTGGAGCACTTTTAAAAATGTAAACAAGATCTACATATAATTCCACTTTACTTGATAACAACATTGAAATGACGGACACACCAGTGCCCTGACAATTAGCAATGAGCAAGACCATTTCTGATTCTGTTGAATAGCAGAGTACTGCTGTTATTATTTAAATCAGATTTTAAAAAAACTTTTCCCATTAATAGAAAATGACTTTTTATGAACTAGAACAATATATATGTTAACCCTGTATATTTTCCTTGGTTACATCTTATTCATAGTTTGGGTCCTATTTAAAAATATCTATGCTTAATGAAAATGTTTTTGTTTTGTTTTACAAAGCCTCCATGATTCTATGTGAGCCAAACCTGACAAGCAATGCAAAAACGCGTGTGAAGTATGACGTGTGTCTCAGCAAAAAATGAGTTCCCAGCACAGGTCAGAACACTAAGACAGCATTGCTCTGCAACAAAGCAAAAAACCAAAAATATTTACTTACCAGCCTTCACTTGTATGTATTCAACTGGAGACAGAGGAGGCATTTTTTTTTAGTAATTGAATCCCTTTTATAAGTTTGTAGAATAAAGAGCCTCTAAATGCATCCTTTTCACTCACTTTAGTTTATATTTTAAAATTCTCAAACTCCTGGTTTTCCGTTAATGTAACAATAATTATAAACATTATGCTGTAGTTACTCAAAAAAAAAAACTAAACAACCTCTGCAGATGGTGTCATCATCTTAATGTGGTATTTAGTTCAATCAAAATAGCCTTATCAACCCCATGGTAGAATTTGGGTACTGAAAGGAATCAAATAAAATGTACCCCAACAGTACAATTTTTATTTTTAAAGAGAAGCAAAGAAATAATGAAGCCTAAGAGTCAAATGACACCGTCTGTCCACAGTTCTCAGGATTCCTTGGACCAGTCGCCAGTCCCCAGGCACCATCTCCCTTCTACAGAAGCAGAAACACTGTCTACTATTCCTTTCTTCCCCATAACCATTAGATCTCACTGCTTCCTTCTCAAGAGTTTTTAAGAAATAACAGTGCAACCACCTGTGAAAGGATCCTGATTAAGCTGACATTCAGACGGTGTGGTCTGGTTACCATCATCTGAAAGGGACCTCTGATCCCAAGCATCCTCATCTTGAAGGGGACCACTGCTGTTTTTCTTTCCTGAGTAGTGAACCTGTACGTATTTCAAACCTGTATGGTGGCATCTAAGAAAATAAAGATTCCTGAATTGGTTGCACAGCTGCGGTTTCCCTGGGAGGAAATCTTCACAAAGGTTCTAACGCACTTTGCATAGCTTGGACTTGGGACTCACTCCCAATTCACAGCTGAACTGAACAGCCGACTTGCACGTGAAGACATGCTACCTGCAGAGATGCCCACCGTCAAGGCAAAGGACCTCAAAGTTTTCTTCTTGAGATAGAATTAATCCCACCCACCCTAAGATAAATGCATCTTGCATGGAGGAAAACACATTTTGAATGACAATCTAATATGTGGTTTCAAAGCACACGACTGAACATCGGGTTCCCCCCCAAAAAAACTCTATGAGATAAAGGGAGCCCCAAAATTCTTAATTATGTATAGTTTATGAAGTCTCAGGATTATCGATATAATTCACATCATCAAATAAACTTAATATAATTTTTCCCATTTAAAAAGGAGATGCAAAAGAAAGAAATACAGAACGCTTCTGTCTTATCACAGACAAAGCCTTACTGTTACTTCTACAAAATGCTCAATGAATGCCCTTTGCTAGAGAAATGTTGAATAATTTAGAAATCGTACCAACACCTGAATTAAAGTCAACATTTCAGTTTTCAAGCTTTCCCAAATCCTGTAATGTAACCTGCTTTTCTACTCATTAAAAAAGAAAATGAGGTACAGACATGTCTAAGTGAATCTTGCAAAGGGATTATGGCCAGGCCTGTCAAAGACTCATTACGTTTTGCTGTAAAACAATGTATTAGAATCAGAATGTCATTTCTGGAATTCTAATCACAAGGTGTCACCATGTCTTTCAGTCACCTCTGTGCTTGCTGCCTTTCCTTCTCCAGAAGGAATTCTAGCAAAGTGTTTTCCCATGAGTGTAGCAAGAAGACAGGAAGAGAGGCATTGGTTGGCTGGAATGTGAATGTGTCTCACTTCAAATACCATTAAAGGAGAAGTAGAATGTATCCAGTGATTTTTCTGGGCCAAAAGTCCCAATTACATGTGGGATATTTCTTTCGTTGTTTGTTTTTGGTTTATTGGGTTTTATTTACATTTGTGGAAGTTTGTAATGGACTGAAATAGTGGGCATGGGATTTTCCCACAATTCTCGGGACAACCATTTGTAAAGAATATTTTATTTTGTTTTGTTTGGATATATATAGGAGAGTAAGACCTCTTATGTGTTTATGTTACGTGATCTGAGATGTATTTCATGGTGATACAGTGGTATAAGGCTCATCAATTTGTGCTACCTCAAATTCAGGAATACCTGTTGTAAGTTAGATGGAAGCATAGTCCTCAGAAACCACCTGGGGAAACATGATATTGATTACAACGGCGATGAAGAAAGCAAATATTCTCGAACCATTCCTCTCTAGCTCCGTGTTAGTAGAGTGCGATAGCATTTGAGGTGAATCCCCACAGTTTGTGTTTTTGTTTTTTTTTTTTGTAGTTGCACACATACACACATACACAAAATGGACTTAAATCTAGTATTTTCTTGCATATTTAATAAAAAACGATCTTAAGCCATAATCGCTGGAGCTGCTGGGTGTCTTATTTCTTTAAGAACTCTTTCTGTGCATGCAATAACTTTGGTTAAATTATTCTGGACTTAAAAGGCATAATAGTATTTAAAATAGTATGGTTTCTGAAGCAAAGTTGTAGCAAACCAATTTCAAAAGATTCAGCTGCTGAATTTTACTACATAGTCCCTTTGTAGATGAGTTATTCAGATTTTAAAACAGGAATCATGTGCTGTTATCTCTGTGGTCATTAGTCTCACAAAAGAAAAAGAATGATTAAAAAAAGACTAAGAAACCATTCCTCCAATGATTGTCATTGAACTGACTGGTACATTAGTAAACATTCACAGTACGAAGTCTCTCTCAGTCTTCAGCATAGGAAGTAGTGCAAAGGAAACAAAAAAATCCAGTCTTATGACCTGTGAACAGAATTTGTTACATTTCCTCCAGAATGTTAGGCAGTTGCTATTATACCTCCCCAAAATTAATAATAAAATATAATCAATTTCTAAAGGCCCCTGCAGCCTTTTCAAAAGTTAATTTCCAGTTAAAAATAAACTTTAATTAAATCCAAGATTAAATTGTGACCTATATTCTATTAAATAATTTACTTTCTCTTTTTTCTACACAGTAATTCTTACAATTTCTAGAAAAACAACTACAGAATCCAAAGACATAGGAGATGTTATTAAAACACTGATAAAAGACTGCTCAAATTCATTAATTCTTACATAGTAAATACTTCAGAATGCCAACTTTTCCACCACAGCACAATTCCCAACATGTTGACAATTTACTTACATACTCATGTGCACACACGCTCTTACACGCACACACACACACACACACTCCTAGGACCATCTTTACTATTAACATTTTCCCCTTATGTGCAAAATTCTTGCATTCTATTAAAAAATATAAAGATAGATCTACTCTATTTAAGCCTCCCTCTTCTCCAAGATGTATCATTTATTTGATATGCAATACAAATTTAGTCACAATTATGCCGTGTATTACCATTAAACAGCGTACTACTGTATGCAGTGCAATCATTTGCATATTTCATTTTCATAACTGCACTCTCTATGCATGAATATATTTGGAGATGGGGGCAGTGCCAGGTGGAGAAAACGACTCACACATCGGTCTCCACAGCCTTTGCGTTAGAACAATTGTTTTTATCTGTCTCGCTATCATCCCCCTTTTCCTGACACTTCTCTTCCTTTCCACATAAAGATTCCTTGACCCCTTCTTCCATCTCTAGATACTCTGACTTGTCCCCCAGGGATGAAGAAGTCGAGCTCCGGAATTTCTTGAGCAAATTAGAAGGGAGATATGGGCAACTGACTGCATTCTGTGTCAACTGGGTCTGTTCCTCATTTTCAGTCTCTCTGTGGTAGAAATAGTTAAAGTTAGACACGATTACTGGCACAGGCAAAGCAATGGTTAAGACACCCGCAATGGCACACAGGGACCCCACAATCTTCCCTCCCACTGTGATGGGCTTCATGTCCCCATAGCCCACAGTTGTCATGGTGACCACAGCCCACCAAAACGCATCCGGTATGCTTTGGAAATGAGTAGTGGGTTCATCAGCTTCTGCAAAATATACAGCACTGGAAAAGAGAATGACCCCGATGAAGAGGAAAAAGATAAGAAGGCCCAGTTCCCGCATGCTGGCTCTGAGGGTATGGCCCAGGATCTGCAGGCCTTTGGAGTGTCTGGAGAGCTTGAAGATCCGGAACACTCGGACCAGACGGATGATCCTGAGGATGGCAAAGGACATGGCCTGTTGCTGCTGGCCGTTGCCACCTCCTTGCTGCTGGGCCAGATCGGTGCCCAGAGTGATGAAGTAAGGCAAAATGGAGACAATATCAATGATGTTCATGATGTTTTTGAAGAAGAGAGCTTGGCTGGGGCAAGCAAAGCATCGGACCACAAACTCAAAGGAAAACCACACAATACACACTGTCTCCACGATGAAGAATGGATCGTTGAATATTGTGTGCCCCGAGTTCTCTAGGTGGGGCGCTGATGTGTCATTCAACAACTTGCTATGCCCACCTGCACTCAGGGCCATGATGAGGTCCCTGTCATCCCTGAACTCTGGCAAGGTTTCCAGGCAAAAGATGACAATAGAGATTAAGATGACCAGGACAGATACAATGGCTATGCCCCTGGCAGGGCTAGAACTCTCCGGATATTCAAAGAGAAGCCAAATCTGTTTCTTAAATTCGTTCTCGGGCAGAGCTCTGTCCTCCTCTTCTCTCACAAAGCCCTCGTCCTCGCGGAACTTGAGCAGGGCTTCCTCTCCCAACTGGTAGAACTTCACCTCCTCAGTGAAGATATCAAAGGGGACATTGACTGGCCTCTTCAGGCGGCCTCCTGATTGGTAATAATATAAAATGGCGTCAAAGCTGGGCCGGTTCCTATCAAAAAAATACTCATTGCGCAAAGGGTCGAAGTACTGAGTCCTCTTCTCAGGGTCTCCCAACAGAGTTTCTGGAAACTGGGCCAACGTTTTCATCTGGGTTTCAAATCGTAGCCCGGACACATTTATCACCACACGTTCACAGCAGTCGCTGTAGCGGACTGAACTGTAGCCACCACCACCCCCATCATCCTGAGGCAGCAGGTCTGTGTATGAACACCCGTCCCCATGGTCATCCTCACTATAGTAAAACCTTCCCTCCTCTTCCTCCTCCTCATCCTCCTCCTCGTCTTCCTCTTCCTCGCTCAATTCTCTCAGTATCTTCTCTTCAGAGCCACTGGGCATCAGATCTGAGCAATGAGGAAAACTGCTCTGCCGATGGTGGAGTTTCTTCTTCTCGGTTCGCTGATGCCTCCTCCTCCGACTACCTCGGCTACCTTGAGGATCATGGGAGGAGTAGGCTCCACGCGTCTGGTGATGATGGTGGGAGCCTCCGCCAGAACCCCCAGTGCCTTCGACAGCAGCTGTGGCAGCTGCCACAGCAGCAGCCGCCGCTGCCCTGGAGTGAGCAAGCCTCTCCCTCTCTCGGGCCCGGGCTTGGGCTGCATAACCATAAGGCATATGACTGTTGCACCCTGAGCTCTCTGCACTCACCATTGCAACCTCCATGGTGGTGGTTTTGGGAAATGGCTGGTTCCAGTTGTAAGAGAAGAAGAAAGAAAAATAGGGCAGCTTATTTTCTTACCAAATTAAGGTAAGTTTGGAAGCCTTAAGCAGATTGCCTGGAAGACTTAGGATATTTTCAGTCCAACTTTGCATTTTCTGTTTTTAAATCAGCACACCCCATGCTCCCTCTTCTCAGAGATTCGGCAGTTGCTTTCCAGAGCTTGGCTAGTCTAGACAACAGCCTAGTGCTCCTCAAACATAAGTCAGGAAATATTGCGGTCTCCCGAACACCTACGTGTTTGGGGATAGATGTTCAAATCTGGAAGAATGTCTGGGATGCGGTTGGTGATGACGCTACAAGACTCAAAGGCAGCAAGTATCTGACAGCCAGAAGTTGTGCCTAGAAAAATGAAATACAATTTTTCTGCATGGAAATTGTCCAAAGCCCAGTCCATCCAATTTAAATAAAATGCAAATTAAGTCTTTAGTCTTAGCACTTGCCTTCTAGTGATGGCTTGACCCATGTTAAGATGTGGCTTACAATGTGTCCAACCATTGCTGCTCAGTCTGTGAGGATGATTTCACAGGCTCTCTCTATGATCATCAAGACTTCGTGGACCCACAGACAATGCCCGGTTGTAGATAGACGCAAAGACCTTGGAAGGCTGAGAGGGTGGAAGATGAGGTTCCAGCAATGGCAAACCCAACTCTGAGGTCTCCATAGAAATCAGGAAATGAAGACCATCCTGTGGCTAGACTCATTCAGAAGAAGCACTTCACCTGAAGAAGGATGGGAAACAAGCACAGGAGAAAAATAAAAAGAATCAAACCATTGTGAGCAAATAACCCTTCACCCCACATACAATTTCTTCTCTTATCCTCAGCCAAAGCACGAGACACACGCCAGGAGACCATAACTTTTCAAGAGCACGGGGCAGGCTGCTCTAAAAATCTCTCCTGCTCAATATCCATCTTGCTTTCTTCTTTGATTATCAGCTCTGCTCGGTCTAGTGTGTGTGTGTGTGTGTGTGTGTGTGTGTGTGTGTGTGTGTGTGGTCTTCTTTGGTTATCAGTTCTTCTCGATCTATTATGTATGTTTGTATGAGTGTGTGTGTGTGTGTGTGTGTGTGGTCTTCTTCTTTGGTTATCAGTTCTCTCGATCTATTATGTATGTGTGTATGAGTGTGTGGGGGGGGGTCTTCTTCTTTGATTATCAGTTCTTCTCAATCTATTATGTATGTGTGTATGAGTGTGTGTGTGTATGAATGTGTGTGTGTCTTCTTTGCTTATCAGTTCTGCTCAGTCTATTGTGTGTGTGTGTGTATGAGGGTGTGTGTGTGAGTGTGTGTCAACTCATTTATTTTGCTTCTGTCCTTTTTCCATCCACGCGGTTCTTGTTTTCCTCTGCCCATTCACCAATGCCAGGTTTTCAGTCTCACTGGCATCCTCTTCATCCTACAGCAGCAGCGCTGTGGCTTTACAGCTGTTTCCATTATTCATTTATCTCAAGGAATTCTCTTTAAATTTTCCACTTATTAAATGTTGCTGAATTAAGCACCCTTCCATTTTCTTTGTCTGTCTTTACTCGGGGTTAAAAAAGTTGAAAAGAAAACCAGTTTTCTTCTGTTTAGAGTCAGACTACTTGAATGAACATCAATTACCTCATCTATAAAGTGTAAACAATATAATCCTGCCTCTCCACCAGACCTTTGTAAGGACCAATGGAGACCATGGATGCTATCAGGATAGCATATTGTCTTGCACATGATGAATGACAACGAATGTGACGGTTATGGAAAACACGGCATTAAACTATGTTGCCACCTAGCCACCCACTCCCTAAATTCACGTTCTTTGCCACTGTCTGAAGTGGGTAAAGATGGAACTTGAGCACATCCAAGGCACTGCGACACTCACGCCTATGAGTCCCTGGAGCTGGCATTCTCTGATTCCATGAAACATGCCCCTGTTGTTTTTCCGCTCTACTCCAGCTTCCTGAACACTCCCTACCACCCACAGCCTAGAAGCAAATCCCAGTTCCCACATCTCTTAGTAACCATCCCCTTTCCTTGAAACCATCATGTTCACCCCCTGTACTCTTCTGAAATGTGTGGCTATTGCCCTTGGACAGCACACTTCACCCCCTTTTACTTTTATCCTGTTCTCTCACCCTCCAGTTCACCCCACAATTGTTGACAGACGGCAACCCGCCCTGCTATCACCTGCTGTCCCTCTTTTCTTACTTTGCTCTCCTAAGTCGATTGAATTCATCTCCCCAGTCAGGACTTGAGAAACATCTTACCCCTAACTCCAATCTCCTCTTGCTTCTTCCCAAGAGGACTTCTAAGAAAACAGAAAGTGACCCAAAGAATCGGAAAGGATGATAGCAGATAAAATTTACGGCCTCTTCTAGCTTCTATTACTGGAAACACTTGGGCAGCGAGAGAGCAATGGCTTTCTGAAGCCATTAGCAGGAGCCTCCCCTGAAGCACCTGCTGCTCCTTACTGCTGGTGCCAGTCCTATAACTTAAATGACAATCATGGATTGTCACACACATCTCACACACATCCTTGATTAGACCAAAAAAAAAGAAAAATCCAGAAAACACACCTCAGAAGGTGTCCCTGGTGACATCTTCTCCTCTGCCTGATTCATCACACCAGCTTACATTCAGAAGTGTTTACCGTGGGGAGGCCTCCAAGACCTTACTTATAAAACTGTTCTAGGGCTACATTCACTGTGGCGTGTCAGCTAACAACCATAAGACGGGCACAGTCCAAATAGCCCGAGAATTTGTTCAACTTCTCAACAGCTACAAACAGTTTTCATAGCTAGATATCACTTGAGTAAGTCTTGAGTAACTGGCATGCCCATATATTTACAAATGTGCAGATGCCTCTCCTCCTCAAACAACCCCCTCAAAGATCTCGAATGGGAGGGTCTTCCAGCACACTGCCCATTCCCCTAGCTCTGGAACTGCCTTCTTTCTGCCCAACAGCTAATGCTTCCCTATTCGTTATTTACCTAGGCTTGTTAATTACTGTTTGCCTAACTCACTCTTCTACATTCAAAAAGCAAACTGTGTTCCTTTTCATTGGCTTCTAGTTACCTCACTATCCTAGAGAGACAGAAAGAAGGAGAGAAAGATGAAAGGGAGGGAGAGAAAGAGGGAGAATGGGGAAAGGGGAAGAAGGAGGGAAGAAAGTAAAAGAAAAGGAAAAAAGGAAGGAACGAATGAAGGAAGGAAATGAAGGAACGAAAAATGCGTAAACACACCCAACCATTTTTCCAACAAACCCAACTGTTTTAAAATCTCTTTCTCCAGGTATCCTTCTTAGGATAACCAAGCATATTTTATGCAAGAGACCTTTGCAAGGGCTTTCCCCCTTTCTTCTAAGCACCATTAAACTAAGAGGATTTTGCAAGGCACCTATTCCTGTCTCTATGCTCCCAAACACCAGCCAAAGCATCCTCTTCTCTTATCCAACAACAGCAAGGCTGTTTTCCTCTCTAGATGCTAATTTCTGCAACTGTGTTAGGGTGGTACCTGAACCAAATCCGAGAGAAGGGCAGAAAGAAGGAGACAGAATTAACAATTAAAAAGGTGATAGAATCAGGAAAGCCAATACCATAAGAAACACGTACTTCATCGCACACCATTTATCCAGTCCCTGTGGACTGCTCAAACACTGAAAATACATGCCATCCTAATGTTGGGAGAGTCAGCAATACAGACCCGCTCATCAGCTGTTCGCAAAGGAGAGGAACGGTGAGGCTGGGATCAGACAAAACGAAAACGATGCTAATCTAAACCCCACCTCATTGGGGAACGACATCTTTAATTGCGCCCTGGCCTCCAGACCCGGGTTCCCGCTCAGGCATATTAAGCAGGGCGCACTGGCCCCATCCCCTGGGTTGCCCCTGGAGCGCCGCGTTGCATCTGCACCTCCCTTCTCCCACCTCCTGGTTTATTTTTAACCGCCTTCCATTCATGTCCTTCTGTCACATTCTCGATATTATTTATTCCTCAAATGTCCACAGTTTCTCAACAGCCAAAAGAGTAGGGTGGGGAAAAGATAAGAAAGGTATCATACTTACCGTTCCCAGCAAGTGAGAAAAATAAAAACAGAGAAAAAAATTCCCGGTGATTTGTTTTCTCCCCTCAAGCTGCAACAGCTGGAGGAGGGGCAGAATCGTGGGGGGTGGGGGCGCAGTACAAGAAATCACTCGGATTTGGCAGGTGGAGGCTTCCAAATATCCACGGAACAAGTTCTGTCGCCTTGGCCGGGGTGGGGGGTGTCACAGAGTCCTCATTACTGGAGCCCAGAGGTGGGGATTAGGGACGCCCCAAAGGTAGACCCCGGAGATTCCTGGCTTCTCTGGAGTTCGGCACAGCAGACCTGGACTGGGAACGGAAGTCAAGGTTCCCCCGAAAAAGACTCAAAATCCTAGACAGCAGCGATCACTTGTTAAGCCTGGATTCCTTCTCCAGTATCCATCCCAGACTCGCTCTCTAGCTGGCTGCAGGAGCAGCACACGCCTCCCCTGGCTGCCAGCGCGCACGGGCGGGGGCGGGGCCAGGCCAGGCTGAGGGTGTGGCCTTTGGGGCTGTCACCCGGGGCGCCTCCCCGCGTGGCTGGGCGGGCACAGTCACGACGCTGCGACCCCACCCGTCGGCCCAGCCCCCACGACTGCTTCGCTTCTGGAAACCGTCCCAGGAGCGCTTGACTATCACCCCCAAGCGAGGAGCAAATCCCAGAGACAGATGTGTCCCGCAGGAGCTGTAACAGAAGTCCAGGACCGCAGCACAGGTGCCACTAGAGAGGCTGGGAGAGGGACTTTGACGGGAGATGCAGTCCAAAACCTGGGTGGATAGCTTGAGGCGGCTTCGCTCCCTACCCTGATCTTTCTTTATATCCCCTGGCACCATTCCTGTTTCCTCCCAAAACGTGCAGGAGTAGGGCTCGGGTGCATCTCTGGGGAGATTGCAGGTCCAGGAATC